ATCTCTTGATACTAAAACACAAATTCACATCCTGTGCCAGAACAAATTCACATTTGTGTTGATAAGGGTGCATATTATATACAAATTCTTTTTTTTATGCTCTAGTCTGCCTCATCTGCTGCTACAACAACTTTCTATCTTATCTTATCTTTATTTGGTGACAGATATTATCAACACCAGTAGAAATAATGGAAAAGCTACAGAAACCCAATGTTGTGATAAAGCAGAGTCACTGTGTAAAGAGAGTAAACTGGTCTGTGACTCACAGAGCTGCCTGCCAGCCCTCCTTCATATACAGATGTCCCCTCTCGATGCGCTTGTTGTTGGCGAAGTGCATCCTTTTCGGGAGGTTTTCTTTGAGGTATGGCCTCATCGGCTGGTCAGGGGCCCTGCACTTCAGATCACACACAGAGCAGGAGCATCAACACGCTGTGCGACCAGGACGGGCTTTGTTTGACGTGAAGCTAAGCAGGCAGATAATTCTTCATTCTCCCTATCAATACATGGGTGACATTCGGAATACTTCACATACCGACAGGTTCTTCACCAGGCCCTCATAGTCGACTGGGGAAAGAGACACAGGCCAAGGTTAGCCACGCTGCATATAAACAAGCTGACACTGAGTGATGCTGCAAAGCTGGGAAACATGTCATCCTCAAGAACTCACAGGAAAAGTAATCGTCGGGGAGGCGAGTGGGTCTGATACGAGCAGCCGGGCCTTGGATGACCCTGAAGCTGTCAGTGTTTTCCTGGTAGGTTGATACAAATGCTGCCTTTTCGCAGGACGCCTCCTCCATTCCTGTTTGAAAACAAAAAAATATGAATTGGTCTGTTCTTTAGCAGGATGACGCAAAAGCTACTGGACAGATAACAGATATATCTGGATCTAGTGAATGTAAACGCGGTTTCATGAGGCAAGTTTATCTGTGTGGCACATTTCAACAACAAGGCGATACATAAAATATGAAAGGCGTCAGGGCGAACTGTAAAAGCGACATAAGACAATTTAAAAAGGCATTAAAAACAGTTACAAGGGGAATAATAGGCCGCTGAGGTTATGTTTTCATCTCTGTCTATTTCTAAGTTGGTTGTTTGTTTGTAAGAAAGACTCAGTAGATTTAGTTGTGGATCCAGATCAGGGATTTCTTTTCACCGTCTGTAACATTGTGAGATTTAAGATTGTTTTTTTTCTCCAACATTTGCTTTTATTTCTCAGAGAATAATAAAAAAATCCTGGGAATTTTGGGGACTGATATCCTTGAGTGTGTGAAACTGGGTGTGATTGAATTGGCGGAGGTACCCCCTCTACTCAAAGCCATTCTAATTCAGAATGTGGCATCAGTTCACTTTTAGCAACCTTTTTAAAATCCATGATTATGCTTTCACGATTTTTCATGCTGAGGTTTCTCTTCTCAGAAATGTGGAGATGTGAGCAATTATTTTGTCTTTTCTGCAGCCCACAATAGACTGAGTGCATTTATACTTAGTTTAACATTCGTCAGCATTTTCTTTGGGTTTTTAACGTGAACGCTGATGAATCCTTCCTTCATTCAGAACAATAACAACCACAGTTCATCTAAAGCAACATTTTCTCCTGGAAATCACGTCTTTGATGAGGAGAAACCAGCTCCTCCCACTCTGTCCTCTATCTTTATCACAGGAAATTACAAGCTGAAACATATGGTCTCCAAATGCTTGCTCACAGAAACTCCTCCTAACACACCACTGAGAACAGTTTACCCCCGGATAACAAACATCTTTCAGCACGTTGCTCTCTGGCGGAGAAGTTTCCCCTGCAACAGGTGCAGTGACTCAACCAAGTCAAACATTTGAAGATGACAGTAAACCTCTAAAGCCCCCCCCCCCCCCCCCCCCCCCCC